GTTAAACTGGCAATATAGGCAAATTAACTATAGCTACGGTCTTTTTGTTTCAAAAGAAAGATCAGACTTTGGTCGTTAAAGCTTCATTAAAAAGTTTGACAAGGCGATAAACATTGCCGCAAAATTGCGCCCAGATCACTGGAATCAACATATCTCCAGAGTCACATCTCCGAATGGACAACATTTGACTACAAACAAAGGCAGCTGTGAAGAATTTCATGGTTACTAATAGAAGCTTTTTTTTTTACCAAAGAACCTGGCCTGAGTCCATCTTTGACAATTATTTAGCTGATCACCCTCACCTCAAAGTAACCGAAGCATTGAAGTCCGAGAGTTATATAACCGAAGATGAAACCTCTGAAAAAGATCGCGATGAACAAGACTCCTAGAATCGGTGTTCTTCTTTACTAAGAGTATTTCAAACTATCGAGCAAGTTTTTTTTTTTTTATTTATTGGCACTGATCTTCAACAACTGGATAAACCAGGCGTGTAAGGAAGTTGCACTTATAGCGCGAATTAGAGCATTGTCATGCATAAAAATAACTTTTCATTTGAACGTCACTGTCTTACATCTTTAGGAAATCAATGTCAGCAAAAGAGTTCCTTTTAATACCATCATTCACTTTCCAGATGCCAACCAACTTATTATTGATGATTCCTACATAAAGCATAACCTCTTCACCTCCTTGTTGAAACAGGCTTTCAGACATCACCTATTTCGACAACTGTCAGAGCGATCTAATGTTGCCCTACATTCGTCCATGAATGGCACTTCTCAGAAATTCAGTTCCATGTACTGTTTAACCCGTCTGACATGTTTAATAAAGTGATATTACTTTAAAGTGTTGCAAACAACTGGTTCAGTGCATATTCCTAATCACTTCAGTATGCATCATCAATTCATTTTAACCACACTTGGAGCTCCAATGACTTCAAATAACCCTTTACCTCTCTTAAGTGGGTGTTGGTGCATCTTTCTTTTTCAATTGAATTTCTACTCGCTAAATGAAAATTAAAGATTTTTTTTATATCTTCCGTTTGCCAGTCGGCGCACTTATTCATCCATGTTTGTAACAAACTTCTTGAGAGTATGATGATCTTTTGTGAGGAATGTAGCAATTTCTAATGTTACTTACTGAACTTGAAGCATGTGAACAATTTTTACCTTGTCATCACTGCTCAGAAATTTTTGTGGTTTGCGTTGCATAAGATTAGAATGATGGTAATGAAGCAGTATTACTAAAATATCTACCATTTGTTTACTGTTTCTCAAGTCATTTTTAACCATTCTAATACAACATTAAGAAGCTTGGTTATTGAAATACTGATTTAAGCAAAGGGTCAAATGAAGAACATTTCAGCACCCACTTATATATATCATACTTTACTATTTTATATGATAAATTATACAGTGTAACCCGGATATAAGAGACCCGGATATAAGAGAAACCCGGATATAAGAGAGATTTTATCTGGTCCCAAATTAGAGCCTGTGTTAATGTGTCGGAGTTAACTCCTCCTTCAGTCCGTTAACCCTTTCACCAGGGGTCTCTCTTCCCTGGCTATAAATAGCTGCTGACCCTTGGCCTCTATCTCTTTTTCCTTCAGGATTTCAGCTATCAACCTCGAAATGTAGTCGCTAACAAGGGATAGCGTGGAAACACGCTAAGCACAATATTCACACACGCACGCACATACAGAATATTCACACACGCACGCACGCACATACAGAATATCCACACACGCACGCACATACAGAATATTCACACACACTTCGTCCTTTGTATTGTTTCCATGTATTGTAACTTGTTATTAATATATATTTGTATATACATATATTATCGGTCTTGTTTTGTTTGCTTTCTTTACCTTCTACTTGATTATTTCTCTTGCTGTTGTCTTTGTTACATTTGATATTGTAAAAATTGTAGAGGATCGGTTTTTATTTCTATTTACAACCAATATAAATTGGCTGACCCACTATAAATGTATATAAAATAGACCAAACCCGGATATAAGAGAAACTCGGATATAAGAGACTTCTTCTCCGGTCCCGACAACTCTCTTATATCTGGGTTACACTTTACACATAATTTGCCATATAAAATAGTGTTACATTAAGCGTTTGGTAGCAAAAGAAAGAAATAACGAGAATTAGATTTGAACATTTATTGTTGGCATGTCGTACAGGGATGTTGAAGGATGGGTGGAATGTCCTTTTCAGTGGCCGGTCATCAGGATGGCGGTCGTGTGTAAGGATAGCGCCGGGTGTTGACTTAATTCTTGAGTGGGTTTGGTGTGAGGTCGTAGGGCATGATTGGTGCCCGTGTTAGTTGATCGCGGCCACGATGGTGGGTAGTATGTAGAAGATACATGCTTGGACAATTATATCTCTATTTGATCCATGATTGGCTTGGCAAAAGAATTCCCGTAATAGGCTGCTATTATTTTCTGCAGTAGAATAGTTGCCAACCAAGGCTATAGGCTACAAACTGCCCTGCACGAGGAAGAAAAGTTGGATTCATACCCTTTTCACGATATGATCATCCGAGAAAGATTGTAGGAAATTTAATGGTAATTAATACTGCTTATTACAAACAGACCATTTACTTAAATAACTGTATCTATAAAAATAATGTATTAACAGAAAATATATTAAAATAATTTAATTGTCAGACTCAGTCCATAAGACATTTTATGTTTATACATTCTTTTTATAGATACAAATATTTAAGTAAATGCTCTGTTTATAATAAACAGTATTAAACAACATTCAGGCCGGTAAATGTTATTTAATTCTGTTTATTATAAACAGAGCATTTACTTAAATATTTGTATCTATAAAAAGAATGTATAAACATTAAATGTCTTAAAATATATATATATACAAACAAGTTTGATTAAAAAGACAAGATGCTGAGTATTGTGCACACTACTCAACATGTTATCCAAAAAATTGTAAAAATACAATAAAAAATTAAACAGGCGGACCTAGTCAGTTCTTTTTAATCAAAGTGGTTTGCTGGCTAAATTTACCTTACAGGGTGCGATAGGTATATTGTCGCCATTTTACATTTTTAATTTCAGATATGCACATTGTTTGTTTTTGATTTTGTCAACTGTACAGTATAGTAGGGTCAGTTGGGCACTGTCTGGGAGAAAAAGAGCACCATGAGATAATTCACTCTGTCAGAAATTTGGAAATGGCATACTGTACTGCTTGACATTCACACCAGAAGCTCCAATACAAACAGTGTTTGGGTGTCAATCTGAGTAGAGTGCAGAGTATCCGGAAAGAGTTGAATGAGTCTACTGGAGATTACAAAGGTACAGCAGTCAGAAAACTCACTCTGATCATTTTGATAAGAAAAGAACTCACAAATGTGTTGGTGAGGGCCTCAAACTCAACATGGAGGCCTACATCAAGTGCCTTGGGGAGTTAGTGCTGCTCTGGGTCAAGAGGGAAGTTGCTGGAAGACCCTATGTCTAACATGACTCTGCACCATGTTATACAAGAAGGAGAACCCAGTCATGGCCATTAGATAATTTCTGTAACCAAATCACCCCTTAACTAACTCTCCAGACTGCAACCACCTTGATTATTATGTGTGGCACACAGTTGAGCGAGAGACCAACAAAACTCCTTGTAACACCATAGATGAAATGACAACAAGGATTATAGCAGCATTCACCAACTTAAACAAGGAGACCGCCCAGAAGAGTTGCAGGAAATTCTGAAGTCATCTGGAAGTTGTAGTTGAAACCAGTGGCGATTTTATTGAATAAATTTACTCTTTATTATTTCAAGATATTTTTGTGTAATTTTGGTAAATATATCTGTTAAAATGAAATGTTAGTGTTATTTTCATTTTTGCATAATTTAGACAACAATTTATCCATCACACAATATATATATATATATATATATATATATATATATGACGTCACACATTATGAAATGGACAAAGTCCGACAATTATTTTAAGACATTTTTATGTTTATACATTCTTTTTATAGATACAAATATTTAAGTAAATGCTCTGTTTATAATAAACAGTATTAAACAACATTTACCAGTCTAAATGTCTGAGAAAATTTCTCAGACATTCAGGCCGGTAAATCTATAAAAAAATGTCTTAAAATATATATATATATATATATATATACACACATACACACTGATGAGTGGATGGAATGATTGCTGTAGGGTTTCTCTATGAAACTCTGGAGTTGGGATGCCAATCAGCTAAGTAACAAACTTTATATTTGTATTATATATGAAATCACATTCTCTTTGATATTACAAAATAGATGTTTTATTCATTCCTTGGATATATATATATATATATATATATTTTTAAATACAAATTAAATATATGTATTCAATTTGTCGATTTTATTTTCTTTACTTACTGCTTATAAGAAGTGGTATTATTTGATATTTAGTAATTAGCATTTCTTTTTTTCTATTCAATTTGAATATCTTTCTTCTTTTCTTTTATCTTTAAAACACAAAAGCACTAAAGGGCTATGTTGCTGTCGTTAGATAAATATGTGGTTCCTGAAAGTCCCATGAGATTTTTTTTCTAGAATTAGACCACTATGCCTCTATTCAAGCTGTAATTTTGAAAGATGCATTCCTGTTTAACACCCCCTAATATTTTGATTAATAATATTACTATTAATATATTACTAATAATATATTATTAGTATATATATTATAATAGTATATAATACGATATCATATATTAGGATATAATCATATATTAATCAAAGATACAATCATATAAAAAATATTAATCAAAGATATAAAGATATAATTGTATCATGTAATATGATATAGATAATAGGATAACAATATTATAATAGTATGTAATAGTATATAATAATATATTCTCAGTAATAATATATTAATAACAATATATAATTGTTTCATATTAAGTATGTCAGACTAACAGAACCTTCTACATCTTTTTGTCCCTTATATCTTTTCTTTTAGACTTGGATTGGCGTGATCTTCTCTTTGCCATCAAAGAATGCCTTGCACTATTCCATTCCATCTCTCATGACCAAGTGATTGAAAATATAAAAAAGATCTGGACCACACCACAAAACCCCAACCATGTCTTACCTTGCTTGTCTGTAAGAACTGGCCTCGACCTTTACCTTCAAGCCAAGAATTTTCCACAAGGTTCAGAAATCATTATCTCTGCTGTTACCATACCTGACATACCAAACATTCTTCATCATCACGGTCTCGAAGTTGTCTCACTTGATATTGATATTGAGACAACAGCCCCAAAAATTGAACTGCTGAAAGAATTAATCACGGAACGAACTGTTGCTCTCCTCCTTGCTTATATTTACGGGAAAATCTTTGATGTTTCACCTTTCATTGAGGTAGCAAAAAAACACAATCTAGCCGTGATTGAAGACTTAGCTGAGGGATTCTGTGGTTTTGACTATCTTGGCCACCCTGATGCTGACATCTCTCTTTTCAGTTTTGGGACAATCAAGTATTGCTCATGCATGGGTGGAGCCATTGCAAAAATTCAAAATTCTGCTGATTACAAGAAAATGGACCAACTTCAACAAATGTACCATTCCCAATCGTCCAGTGTTTACCTGCAGAAAGTAATGAAATGCTGTATGCTTTATGTTATGTTAGATTGTCCAAAGGCGGTCAGACCAGCCCTATTTATTGTCCAACAGCTCAACTGTGATTACAAGCGAAATGTTACAAAACTGGTACGCAGTTTTCCCAATAACCTCATCCATATGATCCGATTCCAGCCATCTATGGCATTGCTTCTTGTAATGTTTCATCGATTCCAATCCTTCCGTCCAAGCCAGATTACCATTTGCCGTCTCAAGGGAGAATATGTCACTTGTCGATTACCATCTACAGTTACAGTTGTCGGCCACAAGGCACCATTGAATTGTTATTGGCTTTTCCCAATTGTTGTGGTGAGTACATACTAATGTTTAAATACACAATTATCTGTAAAATTTTAAGACCTTTGTTACTAGTTTGAAGTTTTCAGATATTTTCATTATTCCACAAATTATGTAAATTAATCCCCTTGATTTTTTTTGTCTATATTTTGTCCTACTTTAAAACTTAACTAATATCAAGCCAGGTGATGTCTAAATTATGATCAGCTCAAGTCCCAGGAGGCCACTTTCCCAAGCAGTACCTCAACCTTGGAACAAAGCTGGAGTCATTACCTGGCACCTGAAGTGTGCTTAAAAGTTGAAGCACCAATGGACTTGAGCAATTTTTACCCTGCTACTGAAATAACACATTAAACTCAACCATGTGTCAAATGTTTGTGATACATAGCTAAATCTCTATACTTGTACCTACTTTAGTTGTACATTACATCATATAGTCCTTAAATTAGTGAGGGCTGATCTGCCCTACTTTGGGATCAAAGTGTTATAAGCAAATATAATTTAAGAGCAAGATCAGACCAAAAATGAAGGACTGCTGCTATATCAAGGCTGGAGCTGCCCAGTCTTCACTTTACAGCTTTGATAGTGTTCAAAATCATGTACACAGCCTTTTGGGTGATTAATTACTTACTACTCTACTGCTAGATAGCTTTCATATCAGCCAATCAATGGGCACCTGATGACAAACAGAGAGCACTTGGTTGTAAGAGATATTATTATAGACACAACATTACATTACATATGATTTCAGCTACAGATATTTTGTACATAATTTTGTACTTTCAGGGCAAACATATGTTTTTTATATATATAGTTTGTAGATGATAAAATGTGTTGTTGGTATTTTTATACTTTAGTACTACATTAATTGTCATTTTGCTCTAAAAATGTATTACTACTGGTCATTTTTTTTAATAAATATATTCCTGATATTTTTACCATAATCTACTTTCTTAGTGAATCACCAAAAAAAAAAAAAAACACTATTTTTCCATAGCTGTGACCGTAAAAGCTGCTAGAATCTCAGGTCCAATCACTTGATCAGAGGCCTTGCTGCCAGATGTAGTTTATCATCATACCCAGGACAACATATTTTCATCAGATGTTACTAACATAATATTGCATAATGTCAACCATTGTTATTATTTTCAACAAATATTTACTTTCATTTTAATTTTTTAACTGCTTTTTTGTTGCAAAAATTACACAATCTGCCAATTTACAGCAGTGAGTAGACAGTGCCAGATCAAAAATACCAATTAAAATGAATAATAATAGCTATTGAAAGTCATTCCTTACTCTTTTATCATCAAATTTTTATTTTTCTATGTTTTTTTTTAATTACTAATCCATTCTATATTTCTGGGGGGTGTTTTTATCCAGGAAAACCCAGACCTAGTGATGCACCAACTGAACAAACTCGGCATAGAAGCACACCGTTCCTCCACTCAGCTAACCTTCATTGAATCTGACAAATCACCTAACTACCAACCTAAACATCCCTCAATTGAAACTGTGCCTTATTACCCCTATGAAGCCAACTACATGATGAACAATACAGTCTACCTACCAGTCAACAAAGGTGTTCCTTTCCATGTCCTTGACAAAATTTGTAATGCAGTCAAGTACATTACTAAGAAGGATTGTGAAAAAAGTTTTCATTCATTACAACCTAAAATTTTATCCAAACTTTGATGCTTTCATTTTGTTTGGCCATATTTTTTTTTTTTTTGTTTTTCCTTTGATTTAGAAAAAAAATATCTATATTTATTTAAATCTCATGATATTGAAATATTTCAATTGTTTGGGATTAACATTTCTTTTTGATTACAATATTTCAAAAGATTTTTTTCACTGGTATTTTTCAAGTGTTACCACCATATCTTCAGGTTTATTTAATGGAAAATTATCAAAACATTGGTTTGTAGATAAGTTAGAAATATTTTTTTCATAGCTCATAAGATATGCGAACAGTTTCAAAGGCATAACAACTCTAAATAGTTTTGTTAGACAGAAAGAAATTTATGCTACACATTCATTTTAAGTAAATGACCCACACAAGAACATTTTAAACACCTAATACACAAGCTTATGTGCAGGTATTATTAATCTCTAGCAGGACTGATAATGGACATAGCAACCATTTTGCTGTTTCTATCTTAACTTAATGCTAACATATTCTCACATCTGTTAATTTCATTATCTGTCATCATCATATACAAGACTATGGTCATGATGTGGCGATGAGATAAAATGTTGGTGAGGTGGATTATTTTCCTTTCCCAGTGGCATTAGGGAAAAAAATGAAAAGAAACATCTTCAGAAGGATTTTAATTTTTCTTGTTAAATTCTCTTGATCCCGAACACATCACCTCATTCTTTCTTAAACATATACCCAGCTATATTAAACCCTAAAATAAAATCAGATTTCAATTTAAACAATAAAAGTAGATAGACTCACCTCAACTAATCTTTTGAACAGGAGTAAAGGTTCAGCCTTTGTTTTCTGTTCCTTCTAAAGTTTCATTCTCTTTCACTTCAGTAGCCCCTTGTGTCTTAATGGTATTATCACCTTGCTGGGGAAGAAGTGATTAAAAACGAAATTAAGACATGAATCCTAAAGATATAATAATCTAAATATTAATATGGTAGTCTCTCTTTACCTTCTTAGGCAATGTGTACTGCATATACACAAAGAAGAAAATATTAAACAAGACTTCACCAACTAATATCAAAAAGATAAAAGAGTAATAAATGTCTAGATGCTCTTTTGTCTCCAATTTACTTTCACCTGCTTTTCTTTTCATTTTCCCCCAGCATTCTTACTTACCTTTCATCTTTCCTCCTTCATACCATTTTTTCCTTTTTTTTGTGTCTTTTTCCAATTCTGTTGTCATATGAAAATGAACAATTAAGCAAATGATGGCTATATTGTGTGTGTAAACAAATACTACCTTCTTATCTAGAAGTGATGATCCACATGTAGTCCTGTTATTTTTTATGGGCACTATGATAATTACTGTGAAAGCCACAAATGATCTGTAAAACATTTAAATTATATATTATAGAGTGCTTACATTGGAACAGAGCTTTGGAAATTAAACTTGTATATTATTTACTAGTATATTGATGTGCTAAAAGTCATGTGAAAGCAGTATAGCACCACCTCACCTTATTATCATCAAAATACCAAAGTCTATATTCAGTCATGCTTTGACATCAGGTGAGTCAATGTGAATACTAGTTAGGCTACCTGTGGCAAAGCAATGTGAATTATCAGAGGATTCTAATGATCGACAGGCAGTTGGGACATTCCATTTCTGAAACTGTAAGGACATTTGATATCCCTCAATCTGTCATGTGCAATAGAAGGCATTACCACCCATATTCGCCCAACATTTGCCCAATCAAGCATTTATGGGATGTGATGGGGAAGTCAATTCAAACACAAGATTCTGTAACTACAAATGTCAGGGAGATATAGACAGCTATCAAGACTTGATCCCTCAACACTCCAGGTCTTCCAACAACTGGTGGAATCAATGACATATCAACTTGCTACACTTTGTCAGGATAGTAAGATTCCTACATGATACTGGAAACTTATCCCATCAGTGTATAATGAGCTTATATTAAGTACTTTACTATTTTAACCTAATATAAATCTATCCTGAGTATGACAATAAACTACATCCAGCAGCAAGGCTTCTGATTGAGAGATTGGAGATTTTGAGAAGCATGCAACCACTTTAATTGTTGTTGTTCCTAGGTCCACCCTGACCTGGGGTGGTAGCACCTGTTAGGGTCTCTGATATGGGCAAATAGTGAACCTTCAAACAAAAATCAATTGTAAATTTTTATGATAAAATGAGCAACAATATATTTTTATCAAAAAATGACAATCGATGCAGCACTAAAAAAGATATAAAAATACATTTTTGTAGTAAAATTACCAACAATACATTTTTTGATCTACAAACTATGTATCTAAAAAACATACCTTTACCCAAAGAGTATAAAATTATGTACAAAGTATCTGTAGTTGAAAGCATAAAATTGTGTGCAAGATATTTAGATTTCGGCATTAAATAACCTATAGAAGTATGATATGCCACTAAACAAAAACAACCAACCAAACCTAATATAAATTTACACTACTATTAATAAATAACTTCTGAAGGACTCTTGCTATAGATAAATGGTTTGCAACTTTGACTTAGATCATTTGCTGCTTCATTCCTCATTAGTGCCCACATTATTATAACCTTGTGCCACACTAACCAAAACTTTGTGATTATATACTGAAAAGTGGCTGTCATATATAAATAGTCTGCAAATTTGTCTCAATTCCTTTGCTAGTAGGGATTTGACTCCTCACCTGGTTCCCACTTTACTGTGGCCCTGTGCCATGGGCCATGTTAAACTTATTATATATCTGTTACTTTAAGTCTACAATATCTTTTGAGATTAAGTTCTAATAGTTTAAGATGATCAGACATTAATCCAATTCCTGAGAAATCCCCATAAAAATTTCACAGTTTTGCTAATTGTATTTTCAGATGAATCATAATTCTTAAATTAATGATTGAAAAAGTTCCTTGTGAGTTCTACAACTATAAAATACCCATGGAAATTCCCTTATTGCATCATTAAATATTTGAGCTTAACAACTTTAGCAAAATATTGCAACAACAATCATAAGTATGAATTCATTATTTAAATAAAAGAGTAAGGGGGTACAAAATGAAAAGATTTGAAATTAATAAGTTTTTCCTTTTCATTGAAGCAGACACATGAGAGTGTTATTGTCTCCTCTATCTTCTCTCTCCCTCTCTTTCTTTTACTTAAACTAAACAGCATCACTGATATGTCTTTTCCATTTTTCCTCACAATCAAAACAAAATAGTCCATTATTCATAAGGTATTAGCAAGGTGTCAAGTACATGTTAACTAAGGAACAAGTATAATTATAATAGCAGCAGTTTGTATATTAATAAACTTTTGAAGATCAACTGATTTACACTTAAAAATGATCAGATCAAATACTTTACTACTGTGATATCTGTAATATCCCAGAGACAATAAAAATGTCTGTATTAATTTTAAACTTGACCAAGGATCAAGCAATTTCTATTTGATATTCACTGAAATGCCACCTTCAGAAACTTCCAAGGAATATCAAGTCATTACCTATTTATAGAACTTCTATTATTATTATTATTATTATTTACAAGTACTGTCTTCTTCTTTATGTACCATGTCCACTCAGGCCATAGACGATCATGGCTCTCTATAATTTCCTGTCCTTTGTAGCTTTTAATAAATTTTCTCTAGTTGTTATTTCTCCTAAGCCCTGTTCCACCATTCATTTATCTTAAGCTCATCAAGTATGTTTATGCATTGTTTTCCTCTGTCTTTCTTGCCTTCAATTTGTCCTGTAAGTATCAGATTCTCTAAGACCTTTTTCCTCATTATGTGGCCCAGAAACCTCAACTGTCTCTGACTGATGTTAAGTATAAATTTCCTTTTTGTTTGTATTTTCTCTAAAACTTTGTTTTTGCTTACATGTTTGTTCATGGTATCCTCAGCATCCTTCAGTAGAACACATTTCTGTTGCCCCAAGTCTCTTCCTCATATTTGAGGAGATTGTCCACCAGTTATTGCCATATAAGAAGACAGATATCACATAAAAGTTCAGTACTCTTTTCTTTGTTTCTAACAAAGTTTTTCTGTCTCTTAATACTCTGCTTAGCTTTTGGAAGACATCTTCGGCTATCCCAATGCATCTTCAGATTTCAGTGTTGCACTTTTCATCCTCTGTTAGAACATTTCCCAGATAATTCAGTTTTTGTACTTGCTTGATTTTAGTATTTCCAATTTATAATTTGTATTTTGGGCTCATCCTTTTGCTAACAACTTTTATTATTACCAACCAAAATATCTATCTATGCCAGGTAAGAAATCAAGTTTTTTTTTTTTTTTTTACCACAGCTGGTTATAATGATATTAAAATGATTCTTCTCAGCTTATGAATCAGTTATAATAAATTTAGTATTGGAGAAAACAAAACTGAACATAGAATAGGCTGTGCTAAAGGTAATTTTGCCCAATACCTAGAATTGCTACAAAACTAAAACATTTACCTGAAAACTTGAGTCATGTTCTTAAATAGTCTCATCAGATCAAGAGTTTTATATGGATGCTATGCATGGAGCCAAACTCATTCAGAAATATCTAAACTGTCAGTTGTATACAACAGCTTTCTAAGATCATTAGTAAAAAATGGCTTTGAGCAAGTGAAGTCTTGACAAAGATCATCCTTCATTGAACATTGTGGAGTGGCACTACAGAATCACAAACCAAGAACTGTAGCAGATAACAAAAAACATATTACTTGAGGACTATCAACAGCCGCAACAACTAAAATGGATAGCACATTTAACTTGAAGAGAAAATAATGGCATAATCAAGATGTTAACATTCTATACTACTTTAAATAAAAGGTTAGGAGATAAACCTTCCCCCTCCCATATCATTATTGGAAAGAGCAATAACAGCTACTGGACTTGAGAAACCTATTTTCCTGAAAAAAATTTAAGAGAAAGATTTTATAAATTTCAAATGATAGCAGTACTGGCTGCTTAGTTAATGAATACCAAATGTTTCCTTGTGGGCAAACACCTAATATTACTATT